ACTAGACTACTGGGGTGATCTATACCAAATTCTCAGAGGACTATTTCTGCCACATTGTTAAAGCTATATGAGATGACCGACAGAGGCAACACAGAAGGCAACACATGGTTTAACCCAGCACTAGTAGGGTGTATCCAATCAGGTGGCTGGGAAGTAACAATGGAGCACACGTTAGAATTTATCTGGCTTTTATTTGATTAACACAGAGATTGTATATTACACAAAAAGGCTCGAAAGTTTACATACACCACCAGCGAATATTCAGCTCAATTACCCCTTGCAAGCAGGACCTGAACTACACTAACAAGCTTCTGGTAAAATTCTGACCGGATACTTTACCAATCTTTCTGGCAGAGTGGATAGCAGAGTTCATTTAAATTGGGCTGTTTCCTCTCAGACTCACTTTTTAACTACAGTCTATATATATATATATATATAGAAAATGTAGCTTTGGCAAGGCCTTTTCACAATCTTAGTCAAGCCATCCCAAAGTCCTTTCTGATGTGTCCTAGCCTGGGATCATTGTGTTGTTAGAGCAATCATGTGTCGTAGTAATCTAGCTGTTTATGTGAGTTGAAAAAATAGATGAGGAAGACCCTCAGCATGATGCTGCCACCACCAAACTTTGTAGATAGTGGTAATCATGAGCTCAAACTTTGTTGGTTGGCCACTGAGAACAATTTTAAATGAACTCTACTAGTAATGCTAAACAGACTGGTCAGCCACCCAACCAGGAGATTGTGGATGGCTACAAATCAATATATTGCTTTTAGAATGAAATTAATTTGTATGAACCATTATCATTTGACCCAGGAAAAGAAAGGGTCCAAATGAGTCACTATAGGTCCTAATGATCTAATTGTTAAGACATTTTTAATTGATTGTGGACTAACCAATACAAAGTGTTGACTTTGTTGATGACAAATTAAATTACAGTAACGGGCATTTAGTTTCAAATAGCTGTTTATTTAGTCGCCCCATTTCAGGCATGTCTTTTGAGATTTTAAAGGACCTTTAAAAAAATTATGATCCACACAAAGTCCAAAATGTATAGACTTATATTCTGTTCAGGTTAAGGGGTGGGGTGTCACAAGTCAAAAACAACGAACAAACTGACTTCTATAAAATTGTCAAGATGCCCCTTTTGCTCTCTCTGTTTGAAAAAAACTCACCTGTTCCATAAACATGAAACCAACTCGGCAGTCACATGTTTACATGGCAGAACGACGATTAAATACAACCACTTGGAATCAGGGATTACACCCAGTAAATTTGGAATGTCATCAAACATTTCAGTAGGTAATTAAAAACAAAAATAAACAAAAAAGAACAAAACCAGCTTACAGGCAAGAAGTACAAAAGCTTCCAGAAACCTAAGACATTAGTTGCAAGCATTCAGAAGGCCGTGTTAATATCATGCAGCACTTTAGACAGACAGAGGAGTTTGGCGGAAGGGGACAGAGCAAGGCCAAAGGAGTCTGTAAACAGGTGGGAGTTTTAAGGGTCCAGAGAGTTCAGAGGTCATGATATCTGCATCATGGCTGAACAATCACAGCACTTAACGCCACTCCGAAATACCAAGGCAAGTAGGTGGCGGTACATTATATTGAATCCCATCATAACGAGAGACTCAATAAGCCAAAAGACACATATTCAACATACACTGATGCATAAACAACAAAAGGTTCAGTACTCCTGGTGTATCAAATAATGCGAAAGATTTTGGCATCAGCTGGTATTCTGTAAACTGTGAAAGTGATTCACCATTGATTGTGATGTTTTTGTTCTGGCTGTAAACATGGTTATTGGTTCTGCAGTGCTTCCACTCAATAGGACTGAGACGACGAACACCAAAAGTAATCAGGCACAGGTTCAGCACGCACTATGTTTTACAGACCTTCACAATAGAAAATCAACACTGCTCAAAACCAACACAAAGGAGTGTGTGTGTGTGTTTTCCAAGCTACAGAGATGCACTGGGCTTTTGACCTGCTTCAGCATTCACTCTGAGCCGCCATCTTCAGCTGGAATGTTCGTTCTCTCACACAGAAAAGCCGAACAGGGTTTTAGCTTAACGGGTCCATATGACAAAGCTGACGGACAAAACTTTCATTCTTTATGCTTTATGAGGTGGATGTGGACCTCGCTTGCTTTGTAGCATCTACTCCTGTGGTGTAGATGGAGGATTATCATCCTTTGACTCCTTTTTTTCCTCTGTTTTCTCCTCACTAGTCTTCTCCCCCTCAGCTTCCACAGCTGCAGCCGGTTTCTCTGCTTTTACCTCCTGTTTTTCTGCAGCTTCCTTCACATCTTGCTCTTCTATTTTCTCACTTTCCCCTGCCTGTTTGACTTGTTCTTCCTTCTTCTCCTCTTTCGGCTCTTCATCCTCCGTCTTGGAATCCAGAGGCTGCTTCACATCATTTTCCTCCATCAGGACATTCTGCTGTTTCAGCTGGACCTCTCCATCCTGCTGCTGGAGAGGTGTTTCCTCCTCTACCTTCACCTCATCCACTTGTTTAGCAGCATCCGTCTGCTCAACGCCATCGCATTCGTCCTCCGTCTTACTGGACTTGGAGAGAATTTCGTGCAGCTCGGGATTCATGAAGTAAGGTCTCTCAGAAGACCCGTCGTTCCTTTCCAAGTCCTCGCCTTTTTCCCAGTATTTTTGGGTATGCATTGGTTTAAAATGGGTTAATGGAAAAATGTGGGAAAACGTAAAAGCAGAAGGAATGTATGAAAATGAAATTAATGGGAGACAAAGAGGAGAAAAGTGAGAAACACCGAAGCAAGGAGGCAAAATAAGCAGCTTATCGAATAGAGCTGAGGATTTTTGAAAAATGACTCACAGAAACACAGGAACAGAGTGTCCACACACATGGCGTAGACACTGAAGAAGCCATGGGCAATCAGGTATGAGCCCACTACTACCGTCTGTGAAAAGAAGGGAGATCATGAGTTTTTTTTAGAAAACTGTCACAAAATTCTGCAATAACTCTCTCTTAAAGGTATAGTGGAGGATTTCCGCAAATTTTTTAAAAGACCCGCCCTCTCCACTTTAAAAAAAATGCACATTTGCAACCCTGTACCCGTACAAAGAGGGAACGCCTATTAAATGCGTGCAGAGCACTAGCCCATTTCTCCATGTGAACGCTCTGTTTAAAGTTGCTGTTTGCATCGCTCATACATATTTACTTTCCAAAAGAAGATTAGCAAGTTTTCCACTATGTCAGACTCACCATTGGTATGTGAAAATAGGGACGAGCATGTAGGACGGCCTTACCTAAACATATCGCCAGAATGATTGACAATTAGGAGGACCACTTTGATGATCCACCAGGAAAAAGAACATCCTCCACTATATCTTTAAGTAAAGCACTCTTTAGACTAATTGACTCTTCTGGTTAAGAGTTTTTAAGAGTAAAAAAATTATGACTTAAATACATCTTCTGCCTCCATTTATCTGTTTACTGCAGTGTGTTAAATTCATGTTAATGTGCATTTAAAGACATTTCATGTCCCCATGCAGTACCTCCGTTGACCCCCTAGGGGTCACGGACCCCCTGTTGAAGACCTCCGCTTTAAATAAATAAATAAATCTGTCATATCAGTGGTCTGATATCAAACTGATTTTAGTGAACGCACCCGAGTCCTAAGATCAAACATATTTAATAACTAAATATCAAATAAGTAGTTTTTTTTAATCCATCAATTGCATCAAAACTAAAAAGGATTTCTTTAGCATGAACTTTTATGCATTTATTTTGTTTTAATAAAAATCAGATATAGGTTAGAGTAATGTATTCTAATGCGTGAATGGGGGTATTTCTATCATCCTTTTACTGAACCTAGGGACTTGTTTGTAACAGTTAAGTTGCTCAAAATGTTTAACTCATTGTTCTAATTGTATATATGGGTAGGTTTAAGCTGAAAAGCCATTCTCTTCTATTCATTTTCTGAAATCTGTTTTCATTCAATAATGACATCAGTTTTCTTTTATCCAATTTTCAACAGCAGGTATGTGACGTTTTTACCTAAAGTTAATAAGAAGTTATATTGAGTATAAATAAGTGAAAGAAATACTTTGATACTATGGGAATTATTAGGCATTTTTAGGCATTTCTGACTTCTGGTATATTTAAAAACAACTTTTTCATCAAATACAAGATAAAGCTGTCATTTTCTTACATCTCTTATATGACTTCTTAAGTCAAAATGCTAAATCATTTACCCTTAAGCTTTTCTAACCTCTCTGCTGAAGCTAAAGCTGTTCTTACCAGTATAGGCACCCAGTAGTAGTTGAGTGTTGGAGCAGCGTCCTCCACAGCTTTGATCCTTCCAGAGAAGAAGAAGAAAGAGAAAATCCCTACACAGAGATAAAAAGCAGAAATTGTTCACTTCAACTGTGGATCTCTCCAGAGTGTTTCCATCTATTAATAAAAACCTCCCTTACCCACAATGCCAACAATAAGGAGCTTCCCAAGAAACAGCAGGAAGTCGGTCACTTTATCTAAAACAGCCACCCTGTGTTAAAGTGGACACAGTTTTGAGTTTGACAGCTGAATCCTGCTGCACACTTACATTCAGTACGAGTTTATTTTGAATGAAAAACAAACCTGATGATGTTTCTCATGAGGAGGAAGAAGGCGTCTCGAGCTGAGGTACAGAAATTTTTCCCATAGATTGCAATCTGGAGAAAAAAAGATCCCCAAAACAATAAGAAGTGAGCTTCTAGGAAAGGAAAGAGATCAGTCAGCTGTGTTCCAGTTTCAGCTGCTCACCATGATGTAGGCATTCCGGTTCAGGAACTTGATACATTTCTCCAGACACCAGAAGCAGCACTTCATGCAGCTCAGCAGAAATTTGGCAAACTTATTCTGAGCACCTGGGAGGCATAAGGGGAGAGGTTACAAAACATCAAGATGAAGGAACATGTTTATCAGGAAAAACTTTTAGTTATTGTTAGAGTGGAAAAAGCTAATGTAGGTAGGTGTAAATAGATCATGTAGGGATCCACACACATGTGGGTTTAATTTATATTGACAGATTATTACCTAAATGTGCAAAATACATATTACTATTTCTCTTTTTAGGTAGTGGGAAAAAATCTGGGCAGAGATGATGATTGAGGATGAAAATACTTTAGCTCTTTAGCTTTACATGATCTAACTTATAACCTTGGCATTAAAACACTACTACTAATAATAATACAGTATTAACTGTATTAATAATAATACAGTACCATTTGCATTTGCCAGTTGTCTTCGGATGTGGTCAATGATATAAGGATTTTAAACGTTAAGCTAACAGAAGTAGGTGACATGCTAATGGTTAAATAAGAATTATGAGTTATATAAAATCTAAACTACACAATCTTTACATATTCATGACTGTATAACACAGTGTACTTATTAACCCTTTTCATCATGTTTGCAGCCGTTGGTGGATAACCAGTTTTAAATGACCTGTTCTTATATAGACCTTTTTCAAGTCAGAGGACTTGACCAAAGTGCTTTACGCTATATTCAGTTATTCACCCATTCATTCACACACTGATGATGTCTGTTTTATGGCAGTATAATTCATGCTATAATCACTATTTGAATAATGTGTTTTCCAACCTTTTAATTTGTGATCCAGATACTCTAGGATGACTCTGATGACTTGGACTAAAGACAGGATCAGGGATCCAAAAGCCAGGGAGCCTGTGTGGTATCTACACAGAGGGAGGCCAAATATAACAGTTAGTCACCATTTTCCATGTCACATGGCCTCAGGCACGACTGCTGACTGAACATATGCCTAATTTATACAGGATAATCTTTGTTTTTTTTCTAAACAATGTCACCGTTATTTCTATAATAATGACAACATTCTTTTTTTTTTTAGATTTCCAACTAGGATGATTCAAATAAACATATTTTTAAACAAACCTGAGAGCCCGTCCCAGGGAAGAGAAGATGGGATAAGCAGGAATGTCATCTGGCTTCTTGAAGGCCCAGTAATAGGAAGCAAAAGCCCCTGACAGCGTCACCTGGCCCAGTGCCGTCACAAAGTTTGCACACCAGAAGAAGAGGAAGACGTTATAGAACTGAAACAGGATGAGGTATCTGTGGTACAGCGTCTCACCACCATAAAAAGCAAACAGGCACTCTGCATCAGGGCACTGGACGGAAACATTGGATGTGTTGAATGTCTGGGGGAGGAGAAGCAGAAGAGGCAGATCAATGCAGAGATTGTTTTTCTATTAAAAGGCCACCTGTTCATCGTATCGCCACACTGCTGTGCTTTTAAAAAAGGAATCGGATTGTAATACAAGATTTTGGGTCACCTTGGGGTCGCAGGTGTCTCGAGAGAATGGGCACTCCGAGTTGTTGAACACTTTGTAAATCTGTTCATTCGACGTAGACAGGAATCTGGACGGAAGCGTCAAGGTGATAAAGTGACATTTAAAAGATCATGTTACATCAGCCGCAGACGGAACAACTGGATGGGCTTGGTGGAAGCTTAACGAAAGGATACACAGCAGTGACGGCCCAGTAAGCAATCACCACAGCCAGGAGGGCGAAGGTCAGCAGCGGGTAGAACATCGCTGACATGACATGGCCAACAGCTCTGACAAGAGAGACGCTCGGTTATTCTGAAGAATGCCTTTTATAGACACACCTCTTCATAGAACTCATTATATAAACCTTTTAGTGTAATAAAACCAGTATTTTGTCTGCAAAAAATCTGATTTGATCCAGTCCTTTTATACAATCTGCTCTAAATGAAGAGTCAGAACTGACCTGCTGGCTTCCTTGATGAGAGCAATAGCGATCATGATTCTTTTCCTGAGAAAGATGAGCAGCAGGATGATGATGAATTCCACAATTGCCAGGATGATCACTGAAAATTGCAATTAAAGCAGATTAAAATTGTGAATGAGCAGCTCACTAAAAAAAATATAAACTTTGAAAATATCTTACTGAAGGCCAGCCAGGTCTGTCTGATCTGCAGGTAGACAGAGAAGTCTGTCTGCAGGCCGAGGTCCTGGATGCTGACGTCTGCGCCTGGTTCTCCCTTTAGACTGGCATACTCCATGTAGCAGTGGAAGATCCCTGAGCACGGTCGAGCTTGTTAGTTTCATTAATCTTCTTTAAAGACAACTTTTGATTTTGTTCTGAGACTTTATGGGTTTTACCGTATCCAATGACGATAATGACCAAAACAATCATAACCCAGACCATGACGGCGGCCAGGAAGCGCAGCAGGACAATGAAAATCAAGCTGACAACCATGGCGATCACCAGACCACTGCAGAGCGAGGACAAATTCATGAATAATAGAATTAACTGGAGTTTAATCAACCAATCAGAAGTCTGTCTTTACCTCTCAGATATCATATAAAGATTATTAAGACAAATCCCACTGAAATAATCATCTGAATCTGGTTTAGGTTAAATATGATCTAAATGACTTCAGAAAGAGGTTGATGTCTCAATGCTTAACTTTGTACATTAAGAGTACAGATATGCTGACTTACAGTAATATCCAGTGCCAGGACTGGGTGTAGTCTTCAAAGATTCTCATGGCCACCTGACGAGCCTCCAAAACAACATTCGACTTCCTTTCAAGACAAAAATAAACAAGACATAAATCTATAAATTCATCTTTGAGGCTCTAGATGGTGTCATAATCCCTTATCAGGCAAATAAACCACTTTAATATTACGTTATTTGTTCAGTTTTATATCGCTTCTACTTAAATTCAATTTATATGAATCTAGAGCCATATTTTTTCTATTTGTTGTGCTCAGTGACCTGCAGCATCCCTCCTTTGACATGGGAGCTAGCTCGGAGCTCATCTGCCTGGCTGTGTGTTTCCTGGACGGGGCGGCCTGTGGAGCTGGTTAACAGTTGCCTTTTGTATCTCTGCTTCTTTCTCAATGTCTGTTTCTGTCTCCTTGAACCCCAGTCAGCCTCGGCAGATGGCCGCTCACATACTGAGCCTTCTTCTGCTGGAGGTTTCTTCCTGTTAAAAGGCATTTTTTTCTTCTCTACTGTCGCTACAAGCATGCTTGGTGTGAGGGATTGCCTTTGAATTAATGAGTCGATGCAATCTGCTAGTTTTCCTTAGATAGAAAACTTTGAATCAGTCTGACTGTATGATCTGGTAAACTGTCTCTGTAAAGTGTCTGGAGATAATGTGTTGGGAATTGGCCCTATATAAATAAACTGAATTAAAATGAACAAGGAAGCTAATATTTAAATACATGAACAATAAAAAAGTTTGGTCATTGATTGACTTGAAGAACAAAGGGAGAAGCTTGTAAGCCTGAGAACACTTTCTTATTGGGTGGTTTCCTCATGTGGGTTTTATACAGCAGGAGTGGTGGACTTCACTAAACGTCTTATTGACTCGTATTACGCATTAAGATTTTAACATTAAAATGAAATAATTCCACATGTCATCAATGTTTGTTGTAAGTGTCTCCCTAGAGAAAGGTTGACTCACTTTGATGCCTCCAGCACATCTGTTGCATTGACTCTGTTATTGTCGTCGTCGTAGAATGCTGTCTCGTTTCCCACCACCACCACCCCCCCTTTCAGCTTTCCCAGGGCCGGCAGGCAGCGCCGTGTGACTGTGGAGGAAGGACTTTAATCACTTCTTCAACTCTTGGCAGAAAACACTCATTAATAGAGGCAGGGGCGCAGGAAGTAAAAGCTTGCCACTTACAAGCTTTACTGGGCAGCAGCATGGCAGGACACAGGCTGTCCCTCAGGATCTCAGGGGGACTCTGAATCATGCAAAAAAAATGGGCATTAGTTAAAGGTTCTCTGATACTCCATGTTTAACTGTATACATCTGAACTACTTAGATGTAAGTAACCTGTTTATTTGAATATTTACCAGCTTGGTGAAGTTGGTTCCCTCCTTGCAGTATTGAGTGTAGTATTCATGGTCTTCCTTTTTGCCTAATTTCGCTTTCACCAAAGTCATGTACCTGTCAGGACACTTTTCCACACATAACTGGGAGCAAACAACACACAAACAGGAGGTAGTCATGAAACACCCACTATGCCTTATAAGAACAGTAGTAACAGGGAACAGATGTAGCAAGACTTCCTGACCTGCGTGGTGGGGCACTGGAACTCCAGCAGCACCAGAGGACTGGCACATTTCAGGATGTTGAAGTAAAACAGGAGAGGTTTCTTCCTGCAGGGCAACAGTAATAATCACATACATCTGGTCAGGACATTTGATCAAGAATTCACTGCTAACCAAAGAGAGCACTGCATATTTGATCAAAAGTCAGGTTTATCTCAAAATACCACTTCTTATCCACTGGGATTTTTTTCTTTTTTTTTTCTCTCCTTAACTACAAGGGCAGCGCCTTTGATAGCAGCAACGCTTCGGGTGCTGTGCTTCACCATTTATTATGTCTATATTTTGTCCTTTCTTGAACCAAAAACCTAACCTTGGCTCTACTGGAGTAGTGCTTCAGGATGGGAGACAAATAAAGACTTTCTTTTCTGATCTTTCTTTGAAACACTCAAGGAAGAAAGTTCAATCCATAATGAGTACCAGACTGGGACAAGAGAGCATCCATCAGATAAGCAGGATGCTATGCAACCTTTGGAGGAGCAGCAGAGATTTAAAGCTCATCTGTCTCCAGGTTAACTGCCAGTGATGCATTCAATCAATGTTGATAATAATAATCGTCAACTAATTCAATAATAGATTAATCGTTAACTGGAGGATAGAGACTCCAAAACATGCCTTTAGGTGACAGAGCAACCCAAAATTGTAAAAAAAAAAAAAAAAGTGTTAACTTTTTGCACTAAAGATAAAAAATCTTTATTGTCTGTCAATATGCTCTATCCAGAACTCCTCTAATAGAAAAGCTTTATTTTCACTTGGCTTAATTTGGCAAAAAGTATTCTTTGAGGAACCTTTTGCTATCCAATTATTAATCGATTCATCAAAAAAAAAAAAAAAATCGACAGATAATTCAATTTGCATACTAATCATTAGTTGCAGGCCTAAAAATGTAAATCCCCCCCAAACACAGAAACATAATTGTAAAACATAGTGTTGGCAGCATCATGCTGTGGAAATTGTGGTTTCCATCTGGCACAGGGGAGCTGCTAAGGGCTGATAGTCAGATGAATGTAGGTAAATACTGTACAGGGCAATCTTGGAAGAAAAGCTGCTAGAGGCTAATAGAGACAGGAGGTGGGGTCAGAAAATTACATTCCAACAGGACACCAGCCTGCAGGAAATTACTTAAAGTATCCTCCTTTGTTGGAATGGCCCCGTCAAAATACAAATCTAAATCCATTCAATGATCTGTAGCAAGATTTAGAATCTGCTATTTAAAAAGTCTTTTAAAAGTCTTTAAAGACTCTTCACAATGATAAATAGGAAAAGCATGTCGTTCTCTAGATGTGCTGCAGCTGGTAGAGACGTACTTCAAAGATTTGCGGCTTCCTCAAAAAGGTGATTCTACAAAGTAATGACTCAGACAAGATGAATACAAATGTATGCCACAAAAAAGCAAAGCAAATATGATACATTTATCATTTACTCCACTTTGTTTTGGTCAAATATAAAACCTCAGCGAAACACACTACAGGTTAGCGTTCTGTCATGATGTAATGAATACTTTTTTGAGACTACATATCTGGAAGTTATTTAAAATCATCCGCAAGCTTTGATGTGATTAGGTGACTTACTCCAGCGGGGTCCCGGCCTGCCCACAGAACTGTCCTCTGCTGTCTGTGGGATAAATTACTTTTCTGGGGTCACCCTGAGACCAGGCTGCAGAGAAAATCAACACTTTAGTTTCCAATTGTACCTATATTTACAAGCTTTAAGAATAAAACAAGTGATCTTCAGATAAGATCAATAAATAAATGACCTATTATTATTTAAAAAAATTAAACAGCCCGACTGCTCTCAAAGAATTCAGAAGGGTAAAAATCAGTTCAGCACTGCCAATCAGAAGCACTGATCATCTAATGATCAGTAAGTGGAACCACCTTGTTAAAAGCAGTGTAATGGTAGGATCACAAGGCTTTTCCATGTATTCCTACCATCTATGATCTAAAAATAGGTCAAAATTTCTCAAGAAAGTGTATTTCTTCTTAATTTGAATATGTATATAAGATCTACCAATGTAGTGAGTAATCTTACCCTTAACATAATATAATCAGATGTTTTGCACTTGAAGTAAGAGCCTGCAACTGTTTTTTCTTATTTTAAAATTTTATATTGTTTTATTCCATTGGCAGTGTCTCACTTACCTGCTCAATTCAAGAATAGTGCACTTATGTTGAGAAAGATTGAATGGCAGTGTTAAGGTAAGGACTGTTACCTGAGATGGATCTAAAAAGCACAGAAGAGCTGACTAAATGTCCTCTGCAGTCACAGATAAGGTCAGTCAAAGTTCTAGTGTCTGCACCCTGAGCTTTACAATCACTTCTAGATTTTAACTTCCCTTTTACCATAGAGTGATCTTATCCAGTGAAAAACAGAGGACTTTGAGTTTATGTTTATGTCTACAGCCTTGGCCAAAATTTTTTACAGGTTTTTAATAAATTCAGTAACAGAAGAAGATTCTTACCGAGAATACCGACAGCAAAGTAACCAAACAGGGCGAGAATGAAGAGAATACAGCAGAGGATGTCTGTGCAACCCCTGAGGGAAACAACAACAACAACAACAACAACATAGTATTCCTTTTTTGTTCTTTAAAGAGACAAAAACAAAGAATGAACAGACCTGTTCTGGATCGGCCCTTTGAAATTCGGATCGAACTTCCTGGACTCCCCTAAAATGAAAATATAAAGGAAAAAAACATTAAATGTGACGAGAAAGCTTCACATTCAGCAGAGCACAGGGGAACTAAAACCTGTTGTTGTTTTAGGCATCCTCTCTATCTGACCACATGGCGACCTGTGAAACACTTTACACCGAATAAGAATCCACATGAAAGCTGAACATGACTCGTTAGTGGTCGACCATTTCAGCTGTCTGTTGAATGAAATTAAGTGGTAAAAGTTCAAAGAAAACTAATAAGTTTAAACAAAAAAACTCACTTTTTATACTCAGAATGTTATGGTGAAGTAATACTTTCCACAATAATGAATAAATAGCTCATTCAAAGATATTATGGTAACTCTCCAACTAACAGAGACAAAATAAGAAAAATAAATTCAGGGAATCGCATTGTTACATTTAAAAAAAGGTATTTTTAAATTAAAGAATAGAATAGAATAGAAAATCCCTTTATTGTCCCACCATGGGGAACTTGTGGTGTTACAGCAGCAGCAGAAAGGTTATAGTAGAAGTGGTCACATAATGTGGACCTTAGAAAGTGTAGGAAAATAACAGAATAAGTGACAGAGTTAAGAAAATAAACAAATACAATACTATACTGTACATTGTTTTTATAATATAAATACTGTGTATCTGAAGAATAAATAATCAATATACAGCTATGGACATTTTTACAGTAATGGACATGTGAAAATAGCAGCAACACCAGAGATGTGCAAAATGACAACAGCGTGTTATTTAACCGACTACGACAGAAACTGTGCAAAAATCTGCATCAATGTAAGAATTTATTGAGGTTCTTGGGAACAGTGGTGGTTATAAAGTCTTACAGCTGCTGGGAGGAAGGATCTGTGATAACGCTCCCTGGTGCATTTAAGGTGCAGCAGTCTGTCACTAAAGGAGCTTTCCAGTTCAGTACCAGCTTCATGCATGGGGAGAGAGATATTATCCAACAGAGAAGTTATTTTAGTTAAGGTCCTTTTGTTTCCCACCTCCTGCACTGAAATTATGGCAGAAAATAAGTATTTGGTCATTTGTAAAACAACAATACAATAAAGCCCAGAAACAATATTTCTGGGCTTTACAGACATGTAAGAAGCTGTTCTGTCCTCTACTTGGAAGCGTATTAATATGAAATTTAATTTTGATATTTCTCTGAAAATAATATGATGAATAAAGTGACAAATTAAGCATTTAATCTTTCAGCAATGGCCCACCATCCCGGTTCTGTATTTATAGTGATGTAACAGTATGTCCCTTTATTTTTCGATAACAGATTTTAAACTCATCATAGCTTTCTATCAATAAATTACTGTGCACATCTACACCCTGCCATAGTTTCTCAATGCACTCCATGATCGGCTGCATGGTCTGCTTATGTGAACCGCAACATGAGGCATTTACTTAATCATATTTAGTTACTTTTACACAATTGTTTCATGTTAGCTGGGTAGGACATAAACAATTGTGTTAAAGTCACTAAATATGATTAAGTAAATGCCAAAAATCGGTTGCATAATTTTTTTCAGTGTATTTGAACCTGTCTTGAAGTAGTGACATGAAGCAAGTGAGGCGTCTTTTCTTTGAAACCCGGTAATCGCAGCTTGATATGTTTTCCTACACTGAGTCATAATAGAGCGTCTAAATCTGACTTTTCTGAGCTGCTCTGATAACATTTTCAGGAAATGTTCGACCTCTGTTATAACTAACAAAGGCAATGCCACTCTGTTTTAAGTTCAAACTTTGTTATCGACCAAATGTTTATTTCCCCCCATAATTTACAAACAAATTATTTAGAAAATCCTGCAATGTGATGTATTTGATTTATTTTTCTTATTTGAAATGTCTCTATGATGAAAATGACAGACCTCTCCTCTTTCTAAGCATGAAACTCTCACAATAAGTAGTTGACTGAATACTTTTTTTTTGCCCCAGAGTATAGAAGCTTTTTTTTAACATCTTTTTGAGACAGTTCTGGTAGGAGGTTTCCATGCATTTTGTCTTGGTAATCAATGTTTTGCAGCTCTTTGTTTTATTCTAAACTGTTTTCATGATGCAAAGTTGATGCAAAGTTTAAATTTAATTGACTTTTCTGAGTGTCATTTTTTTCTGATGCTCAATGGGTATAAAATATCACTTTTCTCAAATTTATAGTACATAAAACTGTGATTATTATCAGAAAAACCAACTCCTTCCTGATCAGTCTGCTTTCTCTCCTCAGACCAACTATAAAGTTCGACTCACTTCCTGCAGTTCTCTGTTTCCAGCTTCTTGTTGCTTTTTGTAAATAAAACATTAAAGCTCACTGGTTCTCCGTGTGATTCTGCACGTGGGTAAAAAAAAACTACAAACCAACATGACAGCGTTGGAGATGGGTTTAATATCACTGTGGCATCACCCAGAACTACGGCTATGAATAGCTCTGTCGCTCTGGGTTTTAAAAAGGCTGTCTGCCACTAACCTCCATTAAAAGTCATAACAAGTTAGTTGTGATGGATTTGTATAATATGTTTTTTACATGATTTATAGACTTCATAGACTTCATACTGAATATTCAATGTGATATGCCTTTTTTTTTTTACCATAAATTACAGTAATCTACTGATGCTATGAAACAGCAAGTGTGTGTCAAAATGATGAAGTCTTAAGCCCCTCTGAAAATGAGAACATCATCGTTGTTCAATGCTGACTTCACAGCAACGTATATCTACCAACAGCCTATCAGCTATCCAGTGAATAAATAGAGATCAGTGTTGTCATCACTTGTCTCACTGCTGTTAATCTACTTCATGGTCACAGGTCAACCCCCCCACCATCACCACCACCATCACTAAAAGTTCCCTAGGGCATTGGGTAAGGTGGTCATAAGGTGCATTCTGAAATAAAGGTGTTGACAGATGTAACGCTCTGGAAAGGGGATGAGTTGAAAAACGTACCTTTTCATAATGGCCTGTTTAGTCTCTTTCTTTTGACATGATTTATCTTTACAGATGAAAAATTACCAGTTCATGTGAGAAGCTTCAAACTTCTAAGCTTCTTTCTTTGTCCTTTGAATATAAAATCTGAGTGGTAGTAATCCAACCTACCAAAGAACATCTAGTATATTTAATGAATTTATATATTTGAGCCATCATTTTATCTTTTTCAAAAAGCTTATTTCTAGTCTCTAGCGGCCTTTATTTTTGTTATTTTTAAAAGGCAGACAGGAAATGCAATGACCAAAACAAACCTACCACTCTGATGTATTTGGATATAAAGAACTATAATCAGTATTCCCCCAAACGCCCCGTTTTTTCTCCAACCACTATTGTTCAGACAATAAGTAAAGCCAAAGAAACATTTGTAATGAACACCCTGGGTAGCTGTACACAAAATATACAACACCTTTGAAGTGGACTAACACAGAAAGCACAGAGTACACACTTCTATAAATTATCTCTTTGTGGTTAAGAACATCTTTTAAAATCAGATGTTTCCAGGCCTGGCGATATAACACCTACATCTTTAATTTAATTCAGTTTATTTATATAGCACCAATTCACAACACATGTCACCTCAAGGCACTTTACAGTTCACTAGATCATACAGTCAAATTGATTCAAAGTTTTCTATCTAAGTAAAACCAGTTGATTACATCGACTCATTTACTCGAATGCAATCCCTTACACTAAGCAGGCTTGTAGCGACAGTGGAGAGGAAAAACTCCCTTTTAACAGGAAGCAACCTCCAGCAGAACCAGGCTCAGTGTGAGCGACCGTCTACTGAGGCCGACTGGGGTTCAAGGAGACAGAAGCAGAGACAAAAAAAAGAAGCTGCAAAAGGCGGCCCCATCCAGGAAACACACAGCCAGGAAGACGAGCTCCCAGTGTATGCTTACCCTTCTGCTCTGTTTTACTTTTGCTCTTTTGCTGCAACCAACAAATTGACAATGACAAATATAAGGAGCTGAGTGAGCTGACCCCATCATCTCCCAAAATGTCCACTGCATCAACCCCAAGCTCCCTCGATAGAGAAAACACAAAAGCTATTCATTAAATCCTACCACCTGGCTGCACTCTACCAAGAGGTTCTTGCAAAAGTGATACCACCAAGAAGCCCACAGCAGCCACACAATCCTCCCCCACCAAAGCCAACACCTGTCAAAGCTATTGAAGTATAGATAATAAACGGGCCAAAGATAGTTTGAAGCATTATAACAACAGATGATTAGGAGCGCAGAGGAAATTTCACTGCCATCACTGCTGAAGGATATAAATAAAATATGTAACTGTGATAATGTTGCAGAATAAGAACCCACAGTTTACTGCAGTTCACCCACAACTTTGTGCAAAGTGTTCACACATCTTCAAATATAAATAAAATGCCCACAGAGAACGGTTAGAGACTAACTGGTTGATCATATCACTTTAATCATGACTATAAATGCATGGCACTTAAATTATTCTAATTAAATAAATGTTGCAACCAGAATATCCTAAATGAAACATTTATATTATGCTGAGCGTGTAGTGTAATTGTACATATTGTGCATATCTGATTACAATATTTATTGATATTACCACTGCATGATCATTTTTGAGATCAAGAAACCCTGGTTAGAAACATGATTTTGGACAAAAAAAACAACAAACTTTTGTATTAATTGGAATAAAATCTGCTACCTCTATAAAGTAAGCTATTGCTCTAGATGTTGGCTGCATTGGAAACAAAAATCACTGTATTGCTTCTCTAGATGTGCTATCATTGTAGTCCTTAAAAATAAAATGAGAATCCACAGAAAACAGGATTTGGCCACACAAACCTTAAAGAAATGAGTGATCTATTAAAAAACAATCAAGGTTGTAGAGCTGCAAGCTCTAAATTCATCACAACTTGTGCAGGTTTACAGTGGTGCATTTAATATATGCTGCACATAAAGCACATACGAGTTAAAAAGAGTCAGGCCTGCTTTTGACAAAGACCTCCTCAGAACAAAAGGATTCTTCTGCCTGA